TGGTATTGAGTTAAAATTTAAATATTCCTATTTTTGTATCATAATTCACTAAGTTTATATTGCAAAATTTTTATTATACACATTTTATCGCTATATTATAACACACGGCAGGCTGAATATTTCGCATCACTAGTAAGTTAGAAAACATAGAAGGGGATGGGATACATTTCAATACATCATTAATTTATGAAGAAATCTCTTATGAAATTACAGATGAAATTTAAATTAAACATATTTTAAAATATATTTGAACCTTATTCAACAATGTGTTCGCAACTACTTCGAGGATTGTATAGAATATATCCTTCAATAAATAGCATATATCCTTCAATATATAGAATATATCCTTCAATATATAGAATATATCCTTCAATAAATAGCATATATCCTTCAATATATAGAATATATCCTTCAATAAATAGAATATATCCTTCAATATATAGAATATATCCTTCAATAAATAGAATATATCCTTCAATATACAGAATATATCCTTCAATATATAGAATAAATCCTTCAGTGCAAACGGAACTTATCCGCTCATGGTTTAGGAATTTATGCTATAATTTTTATTTAGGGCTACCCTCAATGACTACGGAACAATGTGGATGAAACTTGATCGATGATGTCTGTGGAACTTATTCAGCAATATGTAAGTAACTTATCCAGCAATATGTATGTAATTTATCCAGAAATATGTAAGTAACTTATCCAGCAATATGTATGTAATTTATCCAGAAATATGTGTGTAATTTATCCAGAAATATGTATGGAACGTATTCAGAAATATGTAAGTAACTTATCCAGCAATATGTATGGAACGTATTCAGAAATATGTAAGTAACTTATCCAGCAATATGTATGTAACTTATCCAGCAATATGTAAGTAACTAATCCAGCAATATGTAAGTAACTTATCCAGCAATATGTATGTAACTTATCCAGCAATATGTATGTAACTTAGCCAGCAATATGTATGGAACTTACCCAGCAATATGTATGTAACTTATCCAGCAATATGTATGGAACTTATCCAGCTATATATATGTAACTTATCCAGCAATACGTATGTAACTTATCCAGCAATATGTATGGAACGTACCTAGCAATGCAATCAAGTCTACTAAAGATGCCGATAACTAAAGGTAATATTAAAAGTACAAGCCCACATGAAGATGTAACGATTCTAATAAATGAAATAGCCTTTACACCTCAATATCTGCATCAAATAACATTTACACGAGATTTTTAAAAAATAAATGATATTCCCTATAATTACAAAGTGACAATTATATTTATTTGCTTTTTAAAAATATAACATTTACGCGTATTACCATGATTTAAATGACATTTACACAAAAATTCCCTTATTTCAAATTGACATTTGACATGTATACATCATGACCAGTTACCGACAACAAATGTCAACACAGAGACGAACAGTATGTACACAAATTACCAACATATTTTGCTATTGAACCGACAGTCGAAAAAAAAAGAAGTCGAGTTTGTCATAAGTTAGATAATTTCAATTCTGTATGGAACACACTGCCAAGAAAGGTGGGCGTGCTCTAGTTGAAAAATCTTTAATTTTGTAGGAATCTATACTACCACTCTTGAAGTATAATTATATAATATTAAATAGGATGGAATTTATAACTAATAGTTAACTTTGTTTTTTTCTCAAATTATATATTTTTTACATTTAATCAATAATCCTAGCAATTTGACCCGTGTTTGAACTTTTGAAAGGCGCCCCTTTATTTATTTATTTATTTATTATTTTTTCCCTTTATTTAGGGAATCCAAAATTTACACTACTTTACCAATTTGGAAAAGAATCTGAATGTATGTCATGAAAATTGAATAGAAGTATATTATAATAATGCTACCGTGTTTAGACTTTTAAACAAAACCTGCAGTTAAGTATTCAATAGGTAAATATATTATTTTTACAAGGTTGCATAGCTAATATAAAAAAGTTATTAAAATTATTACGTAATCAAATTTAAAGCGTTTTATTGTGTTTTTCAAGCATATCTCAGTTACACTTGGTTAATTTAGATATTCTTGTGAAAGTTATTTCCCTTGAATAAAGTTTTGGCATTTGTGTTTTCAAATGGGAGATAATTCATTGCTTAACTTTACATTCATTTCAAATTCCTGCACATTAGGTTGACCGCTTACATATAAATATAACTTAAGTTATTATTTGCTATTGTAAAAATCATATAGATCTAGAGCTTTGTTCTAAACACAATAGTTTGGTAGTTTTTTTAGCATTATCAAGTTGTAAAACAAATACATCAGTAGCCGTTGTAGATTGCAATACTTAATGTTAGTAGACATACAGCCTTAGTCGTAACTTAAACATCCAATCAATTGTCTTTTCAAATTTTTCATATATAACAATTGTAGGCTGTAATCTATAACAATTATAAACTTTTATTTTTCAATTTTAAAAAATCGTTACGTAATCACACAATATAGACACTTTACAATTATAACTTAAGACAGTCAAACATAAAACAGGTAAGTTCCGTTTTGAAACTCGCCTTGGGAGGGCTGCAGAGACCCCAAAACTACAAGAATTTTTTTCCAGTGTTTTTTTTTTAAGACTTTTTTCCCCCGGGAGGGGTGGGGGGGGGGGGGGGGTGGGGAGCACTTACAATTTTCTACCGGGGAGGGGCTATGTGGTAAAGTACAAAGTAGACTCGTGGACTTAGCAACAATTTCAATAAAATGTGAATACGCTTGCAAACTGGAATTGAAGGAATTAGTACAAACTTTTGTGACGAGAGAGGCAAGTAGAATTAGATTTTGATGTATACTTATAACGTGTATGCAAATGGTAATAAATTAATTACGTCACTAAGGGGTCGGCGTGGTCGAGTCGGTAAAGCTCATGGTTGCTACACCGAAAAGTCTCGAGTTCAAACCCTCTGGCAGATGAGGCTCGTTTGCTGGGAACAGCAATTCTTCTAGGAGAGACAACTCCAAAATCAAACAACTGCTGCCTTGTAGTTTGTTCTTGGTTGAACAAAGGCTATGGAAGCAAATCCAAAAAGAAAAGCAGGCTGAAATCGGAGTCAATGGCCTCAATGGAATAGAACCTGACGCCGGCACTGTGGATGGAACACACACTGTGAGAGACTCACTCAAATATGACACGCCCTGCACAGGGAAGGCGAATGAAGACCGAACTGGAGGCGGAGTCTTCTTAAAGACCGCAGGGATGTCTTGGGAGGCTGCATATTTAACAGCCGGAGACCGGACAAGTTGGAATGCTATGGTAGAGGCCCTATGCGACACAAGGATTAAAGAGGATTAAGTAAATCAAATATAGTCTCGCTATAATGGGTCTCTTGATCTCTCTCCTAGCATGGGCTTGCATCTTTGACACCTACTCTAGGCTTCTATCGTAGACATATCCTAGGCCGTTGTCTCAGATATTTATAGTTGACTTCTGGTTTAAATATGACACGCCAGGCGCTTGAGTAGAACCCCCAGGTAAAGCCAAAAAGGCCGCCAAAAACAGACACGAAGGCGGAGTCTTGAAGAACTGAAGACAGCAAGGATGTCTAGGAAGACGGCAAAATTCAACATCCGGGGACTGGAAAAGTGGTTGACAAGAAAGAACTAAGTCAAAGTCGAGCTAGGTTTTCTATCCACTGCTCTATGCATCCATCTTCTTCCATCATTGACCGCTATGCTAAACGTGAAATGCGACCCGTCGACGGGAATATTTTATTTACCGTATGTGAAAAGCTTCGCCAAAAGCCCATTCCACCCCCCTCCCCCAGCGGTTGGTCAACATCGTGTGTTGTTTTAGGATCGCGCACAAACACGCTGAAAAAACAAAGCGCCACCACACGTTGCATGTGACACCACCGGTGCCCGGGCTAGAACTGTAAACAACCACAATTTTAGCGACCACTGGTGGTTGAAATTTTTTTTCACACCGTTTTTTTTTATTTTATCATACCATCTCTGTGAGGATAACGGGAGTGTTCGGAAGGTGGGTTTAATGTGAGGGCCCAATCGTACAGCACGTCTGAGGTTCCCTCGTTCCCCTGAGATGTTCCCTGGACAAGTTCCCCCTGGTTCCCAGGAGAGGATCCTCAGAGCCCCCGTACGTCGGTCGACACGTAGGTGAAAGCTGCCGTTTCGTGTCTGACATGATGGTGTGGACGTGGAGGTCTTTAGCGGAGCCTCGTCAGGGCACCATAGGCGGAGTTAACCCGTGGGCATCAAGAGTTCATATCTTGAGAATTAAGGGACTTGGCGGTGGTGGGGGGGGGGGGGGGGAGGGGGGCAACAAAACCCGTGAATCCATAGGGTTTAGCAGTTTTTTAACCAGTATCGGGGTGATGGTTTAAGCCATACAAATAAAGTGAAATTCGTCTTCGTGAATCAAGGGAATGACCTCTATGTGAATCAGGGAGTATTTCAACTTTTCTAATCGAGGAAAGTTGGCCCAATGCTCCACAAGGAGTAAAGAGGACTAAGTATATCGAAGTAATTTCCTCTGTAAACCAAAGAGTACTATAATGTTGCAAATTGAGGGGAAAACTGTGAATTAACAGATTTAGTAATTTAAAACCAAGGCACGGTTATGGGAACCTGGTGAGGGGTGGAAGCAGGCGTTGTAACTGAAATAGTAATATAAACATAAAGTGATATTTCAACGCCAGGGGTAGACAAAGGTACAGAATGTAGTCCAAGTAAAGCACCAAATCGCTTCGCCTTCCATGCATGGAAGGCGAGGCGTGTGGAATGGTAGGTTCAGAACCCGTCGGGTCTGTCTGTTCTGTCTTTACTTGGACTACATTCTGTACCTTTGTCTACCCCTGGCGTTGAAATATCACTTTATGGTTATGGGAACCAAGTGTGTTGACAGCTTGGGGTGGGGACAACTAACATGGGACCTAATGTAGCAGACCCAAAAAGTAAATATAAAGTTAAGAACGAATTTGTAAACAAAATGTACTTCTACTTACCAGAGAAATACTTCTCTCAACATAAACAAAGTTGTTAAAAACAGGCATGCTCTTATCGTTGGTCCCTGTGATTGGTTGAGGCAGTTCACGTGAGAAATCGTCTCATCACACTTATGATTATCCCCTTGCTTTGAGTCTTGCTGTAAAAAAAAAGAATGTTGTAGAATTTTTTAAAAATGGGAACATACATGCTGTTAAAACCGTGTTGTTGTTTTCCTTACTAGAGAGTAGTCGTGTGTATCACAGAGTGATTATGACATTTTTTTTATATTTTCTCAATAAATCTTATTTCGTTCGAGTAGACTTTCTTCAAACAGATGCCTGAAAGAAACTGGTGGTAAGACAAACATATAGCATAGCACTGAATCAACGACTAGTCTAGGGCGGGTGGGTAACCTGGTGTCACAATTTAGTACAGAATCAGCTTTATGTTTCCATGACGACTATCACGACATGTTTCTACACTTCATGTTTGAGGTCGAAGTTAAAAAAGCTTAAGACAAATTGCACTGTAGGTAATACGTAGGGTACATTATAAATTACTGACTTATTTAAAAAGTTGAATTAAAGGTAAGCGCGTGTAAGCGACCCTTTGATTTCAACACTTACGAAACAAAAATAAAAAATTGTTAAAAATGGTGTGATAATATTAGAACACTTGAGGATAAATTATATCAACGTATATGTTAAAGTTGTTGTATGATGAGGTTCACTGGCATTTGAGAAACATAACACAAAGACGCAAAGTACACGTTAGTTGTATTTGCGACCCCATACATGCTAGTTGTATGTAATGTCCCATACTACTAGTGTGTATGTGTACCCCATACTAGTAGTGTGTATGTGTAAACCCCATACGCGCCATGTCCCACATGTCACAAGCTTTCATACACTCCGACCCCCCCCCCCCCCACCCCCACACACAGGTCCCATATGGACCCGATGGTAGAGATTCGACACGGCGGTCAGAACGGCGGTGAGCAAACAAGGTTGGGTGTCGCTGGGACGTGCCCCCCATCAATGACACCCCCCTCCACCCCCCCCCCCCCCCCCCACCTCTTCCCAACCACCGGTGTGTAGAGGGTTAATTTAAAAAAAAAATATTTTATACTTAACGGCTTTAAAAAAAAAATTCAGTTAATCGAATTCTGTTTGAAGAGGTGAAATAGGAAGCCGGGCTGATGGTGACACATAGGTGACACAAAGGTGACACAAAGGTGACACATGAAATGGGGCTTTTGACTCGCGGACAACTGCCGTCCTGACTCACACTTTGGTCAGACTTTAGGCAGACTTTGGTAAGACTTAAGACAGACTTTAGACAGACTTCGGTCAGACTTTGGTCAGACTTGAGACAGACTTTGGTCAGCCTTTAGACAGAATTTAGACAAACTTTGGACAGACTTTGGTCAGACGTTACACAGACTTTACACAGACTTTAAATATACTTTAGACAGACTTTAGACAATCTTTAGACAGACTTTGGTCAGACTTTAGACAGACTTTAGACAGACTTTAGACAGACTTTAGACAGACTTTAGACAGACTTTAGACAGACTTTAGACAGACTTTAGACAGACTTTAGACTTACTGGGACGAACTCGGATAGACTTAAGGAAGACTTTAGACTTAGGGGCTTAGCAAAGACTTCAGGCAGACTTGGGTCTAAGAAATCACAAATGATTAAATGAACTTCTTATGGTAATAGATTGTTACAGATGTTGCCAACTAACTAGCCCTAATAGAGGTCATTTTGATATTATCAAGAGGTCACTGATGATAATATCAAGAGGTCATTTTGATGATATTACCTCGAGGTCACTTTGATGATAATATCAAGAGGTCATTTTGATGATATTACCAAGAGGTCACTTTGATGATACTACCTAGTGGTCACATTGATGCTATTATCAAGAGGTCACTTTCATGATATTACCAAGAGGTCACTTTCATTCTATTACCAAGAGGTCACTTTGATACTACCTAGAGGTCACATCGATGATATTACCAAGAGGTCACTTTCATGCTATTACCAAGAGTTCACTTTGATGATATTACCAAGAGGTCACTTTCATGCTATTACCAAGAGTTCACTTTGATGATATTACCAAGAGGTCACTTTGATGATATTACCAAGAGGTCACTTTGATGATATTACCAAGAGGTCACTTTGATGATATTACCAAGAGGTCACTTTGATGATATTACCAAGAGGTCACTTTCATGATATTACCAAGAGGTCACTTTGATGATATTACCAAGAGGTCACTTTGATGATATTACCATGAGGTCACTGATAATATTACCAAGAGGTCACTTTGATGATATTACCAAGAGGTCACTTTGATGATACTACCTAGAGGTCACTTTGATGATACTACCTAGAGGTCACTTTGATGCTTTTACCAAGAGGTCACTTTGATGATATTACCAAGAGGTCACTTTGATGATATTACCAAGAGGTCACTTTGATGATATTACCGAGGTGTTGCCGCCCACCAAGCCCCAAAGACAGGCCAGAGGTCAGCACTGATGACGTAGCCGACCAACGGTCTCTGTGTGAAATCGATACTAATCGTCTGCGTGTGCCAGGCTGATCGAACATGCACCGCGGGGCCGCGCCCCCCGGGCTCGTGTTTGCACATACATCCATCACCAGCGGGGGGGGGGGGGGGAGGGAGGCGAATGGGAGTGACACCGAAGTTGGGGTTGGAGGTGGGGGGGGGGGGTTGACTCCCCCACAAATCCACCCCACTGTGGTAAGTTATAAAAGTTGTATCATGGAAAAAAATGTCCGTCTGATAACACATTTTACTAATTTAAAAAAAAAAAAGTTCCGTGACTTGAATTTGTTTTAAGCTACAACAATATTAAATTCACATGTATTATTTGTATGCTCTGAAAGTATAATTCACATACTTTATCAACGTATCATTCACATACATTATCAACGTATCAATTACATATTTTATCAACGTATCGTTCACATACTTTATCAACGTATCAATTACATATTTTATCAACGTATCGTTCACATACTTTATCAACGTATCATTCACATACTTTATCAACGTATCAATTACATACTTTATCAACGTACCATTCACATAATTTATCTATATCCTTAACAAAGTTCAATGTTTAACCACATGTCTATACCCTAACAATTAAAGTATCATTCACTCTGTATATTAGGCAGTAGCGTAGCGAGGGGGGGGGGTGGGGCGGGGGGGAGACATATGTCCCCGGGCGCCGACCTTAGGGGGCGCCAAAATGGGTTGGAAAAAGAAATTGAAAGTTTGAGAGGGGGGGTGCAAATCGAAATCTCGAGGGGGGGGGTGCAAATCGAAAAGTTTATCCCCGGGCGCCGGGAAGGGTCGCTACGCCACTGATATTAGGCTTTCACCTTAGTATCTTTTGCACATCAACTCCTGTTTATGTTTTTGAACTAGTTTCAAGACCAATAACTCTATTTCATTTTAGGGAAATAAACCCAAAATGTCAAAACAGGCATTACTGTTCTTTCTCTTCTTTTATTTAAAATCCCATGTAATAAAATAATACAATTAATATACAAACATAAATATTCATTTTTGTTTTTATTTTACAACCCATTTTAAAAATTGCACTATTAATATTCAAACATTTGAACCTTTCTTTTTCTATATCTTAAAATCCATTAATTATTATCATAAACTATTAATTTTTGATAGGTCAGCGTCAATAAGTAAACTAATACAGATTTATTGTTTAATAAAATTTCTAATTTTATACGTTTTGCATGCGGTCTAATCTATGTATAAGTAAAACCATCTTAAACGAATGAAAGAAGGCTACACTTAAGAAAGAAGTATTACTATTTTAAATCTGTATCAGTCCTCACAAGCCGATGATGAAAACTGCAATACTAAAGCGAAAAATGCAAGGCAAACTGACGCTGTAAATTACAATGTCAGAGGCGTAAAAAATAAAATTATGTATTGTTTCATCTTCGAGAAATGTGAATAATGGCGGAAGATGACTTGGCTGAAAATAAGAAAAAAAGAAGACCGTCCGTAAGCAGTGTTTCTTCCAGGTACCTATTCGGGAGGGGGGGGGGGGGGCGGGGGGGGGGGGGGGGGCGGGGGGGGGGGCATGCTCCATCTCCAGAAAAAACGTCTACCACTCAATCCCCCCGTCCCCCACGAACAAAAATATAACATATATAGAAAATATATACTTTTACCACTATCCGCCCCTCCCCCCAAAATTTTAAACCCGCCCCCCCCCCCCTCTCAAATTTTTGGCGCCCCCCCCCCCCCCCCCCACCACCACGGAGAAGAACTTCTTGAAGAAACACTGTCTGTAAGTTAACTTACAGAGGTGTAGACATTGATGACCTCCTTGACAGAGCTTCTTCCAGGCATCTCTTCGGAGGGTAGATAAAATTATATGACCGTGTAAGTATTGTCCGTAAAGGCTTGCAGTTGTTAGTACCTTTTCTTCAATATTCAAATAGACTTCTTGTACCACGACTAAAGTTTTATCTCAAAGCAAGTAAAAAAAAATCCACTATCATGAAATATAGGCCTACTTTATCTTTTTTTTTTTTTGTAAAAAAAAATTCATTATAATATCCCAATTAGATAAAAATACTACAATAAACTACTCTCATAAAATACTACAATAAGCCACACCCATAAAGTACTACAATAACCTACTATAACCTAGTATAAGAAAATGTTACTTTTGTGGAAAATTAAATATTAATCAAATGAATCAGAAGAGGAAATTCAGGTTAAAAATAAAACATAAGATTGTAGATTGCTGCAATTGTTTAGCTGATGGGTAGGGAAGGTATTTTCTCACGAAGGACTTGCTTTTGTCTATACAGTCTATACACGACTTAAGGTGAAAACTTTAGTGTGGAGAAGAGGGTGTCAACGGATTAACAACTACAAAAAAAACCTCAACTTTTTTTTTTTCAAAACTGCCCAAAAGCTTGGTATAGATCTACTATGGATGTGACAAACTACAACCTTACGACAATCACGTAGTATTCCCTACCCCCTCCCCCTTCCGCCGATT